AGCCCCCACGAGGCGGCCCAGGCTCTCAGGGGACAGGCCAGCGTCTTGCTCGGACCCGCGTTGGGGCACACGTCACCCATCCCCCCGGCTGTGGTCCGGGTCACAGCGTGGGTGGTCCCTTCCAGACAGCTGCCTGGGCGCCAGGGCCCCGCCCTTCTCCCGGGGTGCCCAGCCCTCCCCCCGCTCCTCTCCCACTCCCGTCTCAGCCCCAGGGAGTCCCGGCTGCAGGGCCCGGCACAGGCCGCGGTCCAGCTGGGGCTGGGCCAGCACCGGGAGGTGAGAGCTGAGGGCTCCCAGCTGGGCCTCGTCCCCGTCCCTCCCGCTTCCCTGCACCATCCCCCCATCCGCCCTGGTCTGGCCGGGCTCTGACCCACACCGGGCACCTTGGGCCAAGGTGGCGTGGGCGAAGGAACTGGCTCGGAATCCGGGTACGGGCGGCTCACTCCCTTCTGGGACGTCCCCTCATCTGTGTACGAGGAACAAAGAGATCCCCACCACACCCACACACACACACACACACACATACACACACCCCGTGACGCGCGCACACCAGCACTGCTGCACTGCGGAATGACAGTGCGGTGCGGGCTCTGGGAGGCCCGATCAGTCCTCCCTCTTACAGTACTGAGGTGTTTGGTGCCAGGGCATGGGCAGGCCAAGCCTCCCGCCTGTGCCCAACTAGCAACGTGACAGGCCTCGTGGCCTCAGGACAAGCCAGGCCAAACAGGTCCAGCAGACTCCTAAGCCCACGAGGTCCTATGAGCAGGGATTCTATCTGCTCCGGGGATTTCAGAGCCTAAACCTAACCCTAACACTAAACTCTAACCCTAACCCTAACCCTGACCGTAACCCTAACCCTAGCCCTACCCCTACCCTAACCCTAACCCTAGCCCTAGCCCTAACCCTACCCTAACCCTAGCCCTAGCCCTAACCCTAGCCCTAACCCTAACCCTAGCCTTAACCCTAACCCCAACCCTAACCCTAACCCCCGTCCCCCCACGGTCCCCTAAGGGCCCCTAACGTATCCTGGGGAAAGGTCAGGCCTGCTGGTGCAGGGCCACCCCACAGACAGGAAACCCCAGCACAGGGGAGGGGTGGCCATGCTTCCAGTGGCCCCGAAGCCAGGCTGCTGCCCGGCCGTGGGGGAAGGGCCTGGCCGGCGCCCAGAGCCGGAGGCGGTGGCCGTGCAAGGACTGCGAAACGAGAAGGCGATTAATTACGCCGCCGGCCCAGCCGGAGGGAGGGCCGCAGCCGGAGGGAGGGCCGCAGCCGGGGGGAGGGCCGCAGCCGGGGGGAGGGCCGCAGCCGGGAGCCACAGCCGGAGCCGCAGCCGGAGGGAGGGCCGCAGCCGAGAGCCATAGCCAGGGAGCCACAGCCGGGGAGAGAGCCCAGGCCCCCAGGCGCTCGGAGATGAACTGGCTGCATTATTCATTGGAGACTGAGCTCAGCTGTCCTCAGCCCGGGCCTGCCCCGCCCCCCCACCTCGAGGCCACTCTTCTCCCGACTGCGTGGGGCAGCGAGGACTGGGGGCCCCATGAGAGGGTCTGCAGAGCCCCCGCGGCCCCCTGAGGCTGCCCCCCACAGGTTTAGCCCCGGGAAGGGGGAGCGGACGCCCCTGGCGCCTGCTCTGAGCTGAGGACCCATCCTGAGGGCACCCTGGGGCTCTGGGGGAGGGGCTCAAAGTGGGTGCCCGGAGGGAGCACCCGGATGTCGGGACCTGCGCCTCCACACCCCCCGGGCACGGGGTGGGGGCGGACGCCCAGGCCTGCAGGGAGAGCCCAGCCTGGCCCCCGACTGGCCGCGGCCTGGTGCAGGGCCGTGGGACGGACGCTCCACACAGCCTGTCGTCCCTGCTGGGGTGTGACCGGACACACCGCCCGGGCCCAGCCTCGCCGGCAGAGTGGTGGAGGGGAGCAGGAGCGGGTGTCCAGCTGGCTTCCCGGTCACGGCCACTGCCCAGGCCCGGCCCTGCCTGCCCCAGGCCCGTGGCCACGGACAGAAGCAGAGGACACCCCTTGGCCGGCCCTCCGAGCTCTCCAAGCCCAGAGCTGGGGTCTCTGGCTCATCCTTTGGGGCCCTGGGAGCAGCAGTGGCACTGACAGCCGATCTCGGGGTGCAGGAGGTCCCCACCACTGAAGTCCGGGGGAAGCACTGTGACCGGGGACCCAGGAGAGTCGGGGAGCTGGCCTGGCGGAGGGAGACGGAGGGGAGGGGCCGGCTTGCCCTCGGGGCCTCACGGAGACCCTCTGGTGCAGGTGGAGGACGCCCTGCTGGACACCTACGACCTGGTGTTCGACCGGGCGGTGACCGGCCCGCCCGCCCGGCGGCAGGAGCTGGCGGCCATCCACGACACGGTGAGCACCACGGGCCCATCGCCTCCCGGGCGGTCCCTCAGCGGCAGCCGGGCCAGGGGCTGAGCCAGGGTCCCAGCCACAGGCCACGGATCTGCTGCCGGGACCGGAGTTCAGGCCTCCTCCCTGGGCCCGGGCGGGGCCGCCACAGATTCGGTGGGTCCAGAACAGAGTGCAAGGCCCCTGTCCACCAGCGATGGCGGGTCGCAGGCCACGGCTGGCACGGCGTTAAGCAGGCCTGCGAGGCGGCCCTGACGTGGCAGTTGTGGCCCCCCAGGCAGGCGGGTGGCGTTAGGGGCCCTCCTGTGCCCTGGGAAGCCCTGAGTGGTGAGGGCCAGGCTGCCCAGTGCCCGGTGCCCCCCAGGCAGAGGCCCTGAGCCCTGTCCGGTCTCTGCCTGGCCCGCCTCGTCAGTTGCTCTCTGTGCCTCGGTTTCCCCTCTTCGCGGGAACCCGGGTCCTGAGCCCCCGTCTGTCCCTGCAGTTCCTGTGCTGCGGGAAGGGCCCCCCTCCGGGCCTCCCAGGCGGTGTGGAGGCCGACCTGTGCCCGGGGCCGGAGGCGGCCACGCAGGTGAGCAGACTTGCCCCACAGCGCCTCTGCCCCTCTGCCTCCCCCAGGCCCGGGGCCTGCCTGCAGGCTCGGGAGGCTGAGAAGGGGGAGGAGGTGCAGGGGGGCGGGGGGCCTGCAGGCTCAGAGGGGAGGAGGGGGAGGAGGTGCAGAGGGGCGGGGGGGGGGGGCCTGCAGGCTCAGAGGGGAGGAGGGGGAGGAGGTGCAGGGGTGTGGGGTGGGCTGCAGGCTTGGGAGGCTGTGCAGGGGGAGGAGGTGCAGGGGGCGGGCGGGCCTGCAGACTCAGAGGGGAGGAGGGGGAGGAGGTGCAGGGGGGCGGGGGGGCCTGCAGACTCAGAGGGGAGGAGGGGGAGGAGGTGCAGGGGGGCGGGGGGGCCTGCAAGCTCAGAGGGGAGGAGGGGGAGGAGGTGCAGGGGGGCGGGGGGGCCTGCAGACTCAGAGGGGAGGAGGGGGGAGGAGGTGCAGGGGGGCGGGAGGGCCTGCAGGCTCCGGAGGCTGTGCAGGGGGAGGAGGTGCAGGGGGCGGGCGGGCCTGCAGGCTCCGGAGGCTGTGCAGGGGGAGGAGGTGCAGGGGGCGGGAGGGCCTGCAGGCTCCGGAGGCTGTGCAGGGGGAGGAGGTGCAGGGGGCGGGAGGGCCTGCAGGCTCCGGAGGCTGTGCAGGGGGAGGAGGTGCAGGGGGCGGGCGGGCCTGCAGGCTCCGGAGGCTGTGCAGGGGGAGGAGGTGCAGGGGGCGGGCGGCGTGCTGAGCCCCCACAGGCCGTCCTCCTCCGCTGGACTGGCTGAGGGCCCGGGCTCCATCACGCCCTCATTCCTCCGCTCCCAGCTGGCGGGCTCCGGGCCAGGCGCCAGGCCCGCCCTCGGAAGCCTCCGGAGGCGCGGGGGCGGAGGGGATCAGGGCCGAGGGTGCAGAGCAGAGGGTCAGCCTTGGGGGGCGGGAGGGGGGACGCAGGCATCCTGAGGGCCCAGGGCACCCGCGCCTGCAGAGGCTTCAGCGAGACGGAGCAGAAGCCCCTCCTTCCGAGGCCCAGAGCGGCCTGGCACCCGCCCCGCTGCCCGGCCTCCCGCCCGCCCCCTCCAGGAAACATCCTCCCCACGCCTCCTCCTGGCCGCCTCCAGGACACAGACAGGAAGATGCAGAGGGCAGGGCCAGGGAGGAGGCGGCCTGCCGGGAGGGGCAGGGCTGGGGCCGGAGCCCGTTCCTGCCCCCAAGAAGAGGGGGCCTGCGTTGCTCAGGCACCTCCAGGCCTCCGGGTGGGGGCGGGGGCAGCACCGGAGGGGGCATGGGCGCTGGGCCTGCGTCTGCAGAGCCACCCGCCCGGGCGGGGGCAGGCCTCCTGGACCCTGGGCTGCCCAGGCTGCCTTCGCGGAGAGACAGACTGACAAGGGTTCCTTTTCCTTCTTAAATATATTTTTATTGACTTCCGAGAGGAAGGGGGAGGGAGAGAGAGAAACATCCACGATGAGGGAGAATCACGGACCGGCTGCCTCCTGCACGCCCCCCACTGGGGATGGAGTCCACATGTCTTGACGGGGAATCGAACCGGGACCTCCTGGTTCGTAGGCCGATGCTCCACCATGGAGCCACGCCGGCTGGGGTTCGTCTTCCCGGGGGCACCCCGGCCAGGCCACAGCGCAGGCTGCACCCAGGGGTCCGGGGTGGCTTCCTGGGGGAGGGGGGGGGCTGGAGAGGGCAAACCCGGGTGCCGGCTGCCCTGGGAGCCGGAGGCCCCGACTCCGAGGGCCAGTGAAGTCGCCCCGACACCAAGTGTGGGCAGGGCGGGGCTCCGGCCGGGCGAGGGCCCAGCACGGCAGGGAGGCCCTGTCCTGGGGACGTCTGGGCAGACGGACGGACGACAGCCACCTGCCAGCCTCCCCCAGCTGCCACCCCTGGCTGCCACCCTGCCTTAGGCCCCGGTGGGCTGGCACTGCAGGCCCCTGCAGGGAGGAGCGGGCGGGCGAGGCCCCGTGCTGCCTCCCGCCTGTGCCTCCGCAGGACTGCCTGCAGGGCGTCCGGCGCTTCCTGAGGACACACGGACACGTGGCTGCCACCCTGACCGGCGTGGGCCTGGTCACCATGGTACCCGCTCGCCCTCCCCCGCCCCTCCCACCCCTGCCCCCAGGGGAGGCAGGGCGGACCCCAAGCAGGTGGCCGGGTGGAGCCGCCTCGCTCCCTCCCCTGGGGGGGGGGACCCTGCGGGGCCGGGGAGGGGCCCTCCCGAGCCGCTGGCCCAGGCGCCGCCCTCCCAGGTGTACGCCATGCTGCTCAGCGCCTTCCTCTGTTTCGCCATCCGCGCCGGCCGCTGCCTGGACCGCAGGGGGACGTACGCGCTGAGGCCCCGGTAGGCACCGGCCCCTTCCTGCTCCGCCCCGCCCCCTGCATGGACCCCAGAGCCGAGGGCCAGGCTGAGGTTCCAGCCCAGCGGTCGGCACACTCACCCGTCCACAGAGCCAAACACCAAGTGCAACGACTGCCGTTTCTTCGGAGAGCCACGTTTCTTAAAGTTAAACGTCTTCTGACGCCACTTCTTCAACACAGACTGGCCCAGGCCGTGGCATTCTGTGGAAGAGCCACACTCAAGGGGCCAAAGAGCCGCATGTGGCCCCTGAGCCTCAGTTTGCCGACCACGGGTCTACAAGACCCCGGCCCCACGGGGGGCGGGCGGGGCGTGGCGGGGGCGGGGGGGGGGCGGGGGAAGGTGCCAGACCCACGCGCAGCCACTCCACGGCCGGCAGGTCTGAGGGCACAGGGACCCCTCCCCCTGCGGGTCCCCAGCTGCACCCAGACGGACCTCACTGCGCCCTGTCCCCCAGCCCATGACCCTGGGCAATGCCCCCCCCCCCCTGCGGGGAACAGGGGGGACCGGGCCCGGCAGCCAGGCAGCCCCCTCGGCTGGCAGCGGCCCTGCCGGCCACGTCCTCCACTCCCCCGCCCCGTCCCTCCTGGCCACGGGTCCCCTCGCCGCCCACCTGGCCTGCCCCTGGGCCCCACAGCTCCTGGCCTCTCTTCTCAGAGCCCGCGGCCGCCGGCCCCCGGAGCCCAGCTCCTTCAGGCGCTCTGCACAGAGCCCCGCCCTCCGCCACCTGGACCACCTTCGGGGCCCAGGCCCCTCGGGGGACCCCCGGCTGCTCCAGGACAACTGACACTGCGTCTCAGCCGGCCGCCCAGCCGGCCCGTCCCCGCACCGAGCTGTGAGCCCTGCCCGGCACCCAGGCCCCTCGGGGGACCCCCGGCTGCTCCAGGACAACTGACACTGCGTCTCAGCCGGCCACCCAGCCGGCCCGTCCCCGCACCGAGCTGTGAGCCCTGCCCGGCACCCAGGCCCCTCGGGGGACCCCCGGCTGCTCCAGGACAACTGATGCCACGTCTCAGCCGGCCGCCCAGCCGCCCCGTCCCCGCACCGAGCTGTGAGCTGTGCCCTCCACAGGGAGGGAGGACAGGGACGGGGACCAGAGGCCTGGCCACGGAGAGAAGCGGCCTCATTTCAGCAGACGGTGTCCAGGTCGGGGTCTCGCACAGACTCAGTGGGGCAGGCTGGGAATGGAGTCCAAACGGGGCAGCCAGCCCTGGCCGGTGTGGCTCAGTGGATAGAACATCGGCCTGTGGACTGAAGGTCCCAGGTTCAATCCCCGTCAAGGCCATAGGCCTGGGTGCTGGGCTCGATCCCCAGTGGGGGGTGTGCAGGAGGCAGCTGGTCTGTGGTTCTCTCATCATTGGTGTTTCTGTCTCTCCCTCTCCCTTCCTCTCTGACATCAATAAAAACACTTTAAAAATCCTGTAAAAATGTATGTGGCAGCAGGAAAAGACATTTTGGCGGAAGCTAGGGGCTGCTCCTCCCGGGCACAGCTCCCAGGTCACCTTCTCGACGCCCCCTCCCCCGGCCCTCCCCAGGCTTCCTGGTGGCGGGACCCACCTTCGCTGCAGAGGGAGCTGAAGCGGGAAGACCTCCATCTCTCGGCCAGGCCCCCACCAGCCTTCACGGCAGGGGCGCAGGCTGGGGGAGACATGGGGACCCCTCCTCCCACTCACACTGTAGTAACACCCACCCCTGCCATCACCGTGACCCTTTTAGGGAGTTTTTTAAAAAATAATTTTTATTTTCAGTATTTTTATTGAAATACTGAAATGTAGAAGCACAGCATGGCCTCCCCCGACTCACAGCACCTGCCCCGGCCTCACCCTCCCCCCCCAACTCACAGCACCTGCCCCGGCCTCCCCTCCCCCCCCCCGACTCACAGCACCTGCCCCAGCCTCCCCCCCCCCCCGACTCACAGCACCTGCCCCGGCCTCCCCCCCCCATCCCCCCGACTCACAGCACCTGCCCCAGCCTTCTCCCCCCCCCCAACTCACAGCACCTGCCCCGGCCTCCCCCCCCATCCCCCCGACTCACAGCACCTGCCCCAGCCTCCCCCCCCCCCGACTCACAGCACCTGCCCCGGCCGGCCTCCCCCCCCCCCCCCCCCCCCCGACTCACAGCACCTGCCCCGGCCTCCCCTCGATGCAGCTCCGGCTCCGGCTGGGCCTTGGGGCGCAGGGGGCAGGGGCTGGGCGTGTGAAGGCCGCCCTCCCCGCACCCTGTCCGTCCGGCGGGAGTTCCCGTGTCCCTGGTGGCTCCGGCCTCACTGGCCTGCTCGGGCGCCGGTTCAGCAGCTGCGCATCCAGCTCCTGTTTGTGAGGCCTCTGGAGCCGCAGCCGCCTGGAGGGCCCGCCTCCCGCGGACGCAGGGTCTGCACTGTCACGTGACCTAGGGCACGTCGAGTGCCGTCCATCTCCTGGCTTGTGATTTGCCTCTCGTGTCCCTTCCAGCGATTTCTGGCGAGCGGGTCCTTCTGGGCCTGGTTTTACCTTGAAGTGAAAGTTTCCATCCAGGGCTTGGACGGGAAATCTCGCCATCTTTAAAGGAAAAGAGGCCTGAATATCCACAGCCACAGTGACCGCCGAGCAGCTGTGAGCCCCAGAACGCCGGTCCCAGGTGGCGCGAACACTTGGACCGCACTGCGAAAAGGAGAGAGAACTACCGTATTTTTCAGACCATAAGACGCACTTTTTTCCCCCCAGAAGTGGGGGGGAAAAGTCCCTGCGTCTTATGGTCCAAATACAGCCTACACATATACTTTAAAAAACAAAGTTGTTTTACTTGCCCGGCTCTGTGTGGTCTCTGTGAGCTTGCCCGGCTCTAAAATGGTTCTAAATGCTGCTGTTTACTTTACAGGGTTGATTACATGTGTTTATGACTGTGATGTTGGGTTTTAATGCACATAAAATATTTTAGGACACTATTTGTTTCAGAATCTTTTTTTCTTCATTTCCCTTCTCTAAAAACTGGTGCGTCTTATGGTCCGAAAAATACGGTACATACCCAGACCCCCTGTGGGGAGACAAACAGCCCGCACACGAAAGAGAAGCAGGCATCACCAGAAAAGGAAGCAAACGAGTTGGAGGCAAGCAACCTATCAGAGCAAGAATTCAGAGAAATGATCATAAGATGGTTAAAAAGAATGGAAGACAAATTTGACAATATGAGTAAGAACCAAGAGGAAATGAAGAAGAACCAAGAAGAAATGAAAAATGACGTCGTTGTGTAAAGAACTCGATAGAAAGCACCAAGAGTAGATTAGAAGCAGCAGAGGACCGCATCAGTGAGCTAGAAGACAAGATGGCAAGTTTCCATCCAGAAAAGTAGAAACGGTCACACAATGGAGGGTTCCGGCTGTTCTCAGGAGGGTTCTGGGGGTTTCCATGGACGGCGGGGTCTGCACTCCGTTTCTGGGGAGGGTTCCGGGTGTTTCCATGGAAGGTTCCAGGAGTTTCTAGGAGGGTTCCAGGACCAGGGTTCCAGGTGTTTCTAGGGAGGGTTCCGGGTGTTTCCGGGTGTTTCCATGGAAGGTTCCAGGTGTTTCTAGGAGGGTTCTAGGTGTTTCTAGCAGGGTTCCGGGTGTTTCCATGGAAGGTTCCGGGTGTTTACGGGGAGGGTTCCGGGTGCAGGGTAGTCATGGCGAGGAACCTGACCATGGTGACAGCTCGGGATTGTGGTCTCTGCTCTGCGCACGGCTGGCGCTGAGGGATCCGGAGAAAAGGAAGTCACTTGGCTTTCCGTAGGCGGTACAGCGGGGCCCCCGGAGGCAGAAGGTGCGGAGGCTCAGCGAGGCGGCGATGGGCCTTCGGAGGGGAGATGCCGGCGAGGACAGGGCTCCGCCCGGCGGCTTCCAGTTAGAACGTTTCAATCAGACCACCTGTGTGGTCACTCGTATCTTTATATTTTTTAATTGATTTTATGTCCTTTCTTTAGAGAGCCAGGAAGGGCGAGGGATAGAGAGATGGAAATGTTGATTAGAGGGAGCCAGCCATCGGCTGCCTCGTGCACGCCCCCTGCTGGGGATCGAGCCGCAACCTGGGCCTGGGCCCGACCGGGCGTCAAGCTGGGACCTCCCGGTGCAGATGGACGCTCCCCCTGAGCCGGCCGGCCCTGTGGTCACCTCAGTCTCTGCATGTGCAAGGCCTCCTGGGAGCTTGTCAGGCTCCACATGTGGCCCCTTCCTGTGTGTGTGTGTGTGTGTGTGGTTAGAACATGGCACCCTGGCTACTCTACCACTGGTCGGCAAACTCCTTAGTCTACAGAGCCGAATATCAACAGCACAACGACTGACATTTCTTTGGAGAGCCACGTTTTTTAAACTTAAACGTCTTCTAACGCCACTTCTTCCGCACAGACTCGCCCAGGCCGTGGTGTTTTGTGGAAGAGCCACACGCAAAGGGCCAAAGAGCTGCCTGTGGCTCTCGAGCTGCAGTTTGCCGACCACGGCTCTAACCTGTTCCAGGTCACCCACCTCCTGGCTCCTGGGAGCCAGAGCACAGTGACTCCCCGAGGCTCCGGGGAGAGGCCCCGGGAGCCGTCCCCGCAGGGCGACGGGATTTGGAAACACAGAGCCACGCCCCAGGCCGGCACGGCTGCTCTGCCGGTGCTGCCCCCCCTCCGAGCTCACCGGCAGGAGAAAGGGCAGTTACCGTGAAAGGACGGTCTGGGCCGGAGGGATGTCGGGTCCTGGGAGGGCCTCTGGTCCAGGGTGGGATGTCTGGGCCTGTGGAGGCGGTCTGGTACCTCACCAGTATTTTATATGGTTTTTAAAATTTTTTAAATATATTTCATTGATTTTTTTTACAGAGAGGAAGGGAGAGGGATAGTTAGAAACATTGATGAGAGAGAAACATCGGTCAGCTGCCTCCTGCACACCTCCCACTGGGGATGTGCCCGCAACCAAGGTACATGCCCTTGACCGGAATCGGACCTGGGACCTTTCCGTCCGCAGGCCGACGCTCTATCCACCGAGGTCTCGGCAGTATTTAATATGTTTGATGAAACACCGGGGCTCCCTCCTCTGTCCTCAGCCGCACCCCACTGAGCGGAGGAAGCTGGCGGCCAGGGCTGGGGCGGCCAGGTCTACCCACGGGAGAGGAATGATTTTTATTGATTTCAGAGAGGAAGGTTGCAGGTATGACCGCCCGAGTTTGGGTTCCAGGTGTGAGTGTCCCCCCCACCCCCACCCCTGCATGGCTCCGGTTCAGGGTTCAGGTTCAGGGTTCGGGCTCAGGAGGAGGCCGCACACCAGGGAAGAGACTAGAAAATATTAATTTGGAAATATTGGGGGCCAGCGGGAGCCCAACTCAAGGGGAAGGACTCCACCAGCTCTGGCCTTGCCGTCTGCCTGACCGGTTTGGCTCAGAGGATAGAGCGTCGGCCTGCGGACTGAGGGGTCCCGGGTTCGATTCCGGTCAGGGGCATGTACCTTGGTTGCGGGCACATCCCTAGTAGGGGCTGTGCAGGAGGCAGCTGGTTGATGTTTCTCTCTCATCGATGTTTCTGGCTCTCTGTCACTCTCTCTTCATCTCTGTAGAAAATCAATAAAGTATATTAAAAAAAAAAGACTATGGGATCCACCCATAGCTCTACGCAGGCAATTCCAGCAACAGCCAATCAGCAGGGATTTACAGGAGACTAAAAGGCGGCGGTTGCTTCAGCTGCCGTTGTCTCCACTAGACAGGGGTGCTTGGCTGTGGCCTTTCAGAGCCTCAAGGTGGACCAGCCTACAGGTTCTGTGCCAGTGAGGACAGTGGGCAGCTTCCGACAGAAGGGAGATGGAGAGAGAGACACGCATCAGTGATGAGAGAGAATCACGGACCGGCTGCCTCCTGCACGCCCCCTACTGGGGATGGAGCCCATCCCGGGCCTGTGCCCTGACGGAATGGAGCCGTGACCTCCTGGCTCCTAGGTCGACGCTCAGCCCCAGGGCCACCCAGGGCCACGCCGGCTGGGTGACAGCCATGACACTAAAGAAATCTCCCTCCACAGGAGAAGCCGAGCGAGTGGTGCAGGACCTGGCAGCGTGCTCCAGGCCTCGTCCGGCACCGTGTCCCTGGTGCTGGAGCTGGAACGAAGCCCCCAGGAGAGATCCCTTTAAAAAGGGGTGTCTGCCTGGCAGTGCGGCTCAGTGGATAGAGCGTCGCCCTGCCCACCGAAAGGCCGCTAGGTCGATGCCGGTCAGGGCCCCGCCCGGGAGGCGGGTTCCGGCCCCTGTTGGGATGTGTATGGGAGGCAACCAATCAATGTTTCTCTCTCACACTGATGTGTGTCTTTCTCTGCCCCTGTCCCCTCCTCTCTCTCTAGAATCAATTTATTAAAAATAAAATGGGGTCGAAACCGGTGTTCCTCAGTGGATAGAGTGTCGGCCTGAGGACTGAGAGGTCCCGGGTTCGTTTCCGGTCAGGGGCACGAGGCAGCTGATCGATTTCTCTCTTATCAATGTTTCTAACTCTCTCTCCTCTCTAAAAAATCAATAAAACATATTAAAAAAAATAAAATAAAAGGGGGCAGTGTTTATAATTCCACGTAGGAGCCCCCGTAGTTCTCCCCCCTTCCCGTAGAGGAACCCAGGGGAACAAGAGGGAGCTGTTAGCAGACCTGGGGCTATAAATAGCCGGTTAATCCATTCCTCCTGAGGACCCAGTCCGCCCTGGGACCTCCTGTTTCTCCCTAATGGGCTTACGCAGCCTGAGCCTAGGCCGCCTTGCTTTCACCTGGGAAGATTACAGATTGGCTTCTCGCCGTCCGTCAACAATATACAGAGAGTCCCGCCTACTGCCTCAGGCCCGTGGTCGGCAAACCGCGGCTCGAGAGCCACAGGCGGCTCTTTGGCCCCTGGAGCGTGGCTCTTCCACAAAACACCACGGCCTGGGTGACTCTATGTTGAAGAAGTGGCGTTAGAAGAAGTTTAAGTTTAAAAAATGTGGCTCTCTGAAGAAATTTCAATCATTGTGCTGTTGATGTTTGGCTCTGTGGACTGACGAGATTGCCGATGCCTGCCTTAGACCAAGCGCATCAAACTCCAAGGCTGACACGGGCCAAATAAACCAGGTTAAGTGTATGTGGCCGCAAAAAAAAAGAAAAGCTTCGATCTTTATAGAAACGTGGGTTTATTTCGATAGAGACACACTGAAGACAAAGGGCTGAAGTAATGAGACATCGTTAACATAAAATAATAGAACATTGTAATAAACATTAATGGTTTTTCTTGAACATTCACTTACCAGACGCTGAGTAACTGCACAAATGAATGAGCCTAACGCAAATAAACCTATTTTCCTCATTTTCCTCGTTCTCTAAAAGCGAAATATCTCCTGTTGCTCACACCAAACAGGTCAGTCTAAGGCTAAGGACGTGGCCGTCGGCTGCTAAATACTCGCTGACAGTATCGCTGGGGAGAAATGGTGCGCCTGCGTGTACGGTGTGTAAGGGAAATGAATGCAGCACGAGTATAGGTATCAGCCATTAGCGAATGCTGCAGATTGTTATTAATTATGCATAACAAGATATTGTCAACATTAAGTTCAAAATTTCTATTAAAACGTTTCTTACCTTCCCTGACTGGTGTGGCTCAGTGGATAGAGCGTCGGCTGCGGACTTAAGGGTCCGGGTTTGATGCCTGTCGGGGGCATGTCCCTTGGTTGCAGGCACATCCCCAGTGGGGGGCGTGCAGGAGGCAGCGGATCGATGTTTCTCTCTCATGGATGTTTCTAACTCTCTATCCCTCTCCCTAAAACAAAACAAAACAACAAAAAAAACCCAAACAATAAAATATAGTAAAAAACAAACAAAACAAAAAACAAACACAGCGTTTCTTAGACAGTTATATTGGCCGGGCCGAGAAAACACTCGTGGTGGCCACATGCGGCCTGCAAGCCGAGAGTCTGACCTGCTTGCCTTGGACACTGACCGCTGTTCTCAGTGACGCCAAATCCCCCGGACATTCTGCTCTCACCCCACAGGTGAACGGCGTAGTTTTAAGTCTGGAAAACATTAGACTCCCAAAGGCACACCATGTGCCTCCCACCACAGCTAGCTCTCAAGGGACACACAGCAAAGGACCAACCCCTCCCCCAAAAAATTAGCCTAAAAAAAACAAGACAAGAGCCCAGGTCTCCTTCTCTCCCTGGTAACAGGACGTCTGAAATCAAGACTTTTCAAAAATCTCTTTATTATCTTATTTTATTATTATTTTTAAAATATATTTTATTGATTTTTTACAGAGGAGAAGGGAGAGGGACAGAGAGTTAGGAACATCGATGAGAGCCGAAATCGGTTTGGCTCAATGGATAGAGAGTCGGCTTGGGGACTGAAGGGTCCCGGGTTCGATTCCGGTCAAGGGCAGGTACCTTGGTTGCCAGCACATCCCCAGTGGGGGGGTGTGCAAGAGGCAGCTGATCGATGATGCTCTCTCATCAATGTTTCTTTCTTTTTTTTTTTTTTAAATATATTTTATTGATTTTGTACAGAGAGGAAGGGAGAGAGATACAGAATTAGAAACATCAATGAGAGAGAGTCATCGATTAGCTGCCTCTTGCACACCCCCCACTGGGGATGTGCCCGCAACCAAGGTACCTGCCCTTGACTGGAATCGAACCCAGGACCTTTCAGTCCGCAGGCCGAGGCTCTCTCCACTGAGCCACACCCGTTTCGGCTAAAACCAAGGCTTTTAAACGAAAAGCGGTTTATGGTGTGCGGTCATGCTGTAGTGTAGGGCCTAGCCCCGTGGTCGGCAAACTCCTTAGTCAGCAGAGCCAAATACCAACGGCACAACGATGGACATTTCTTCAGAGAGCCACATTGTTTAAACTTAAACTTCTTCAAATGCTACTTCTTCAACATGCGCTCGCCCAGGCTGCGGTGTTTTGTGGAAGAGCCCCACTCCAGGGGCCGGAGAGCTGCGAGCCGCGGTTTGCCCGCCTGAGCTTGTCAGGTCAGCATGTGGCTAGAAACCTCCCCGGACACAGGCGAGTTTCCACCTTAACCACCCGAACTCCCACCCTCACCGCCCCGACTCCCACCCTCACCGCCCCGACTCCCGCCCTCACCGCCCCGACTCCCACCCTCATCCCTCGACTCCCACCCTCATCCCCCGACTCCCGCCCTCACCGCCCCGACTCCCGCCCTCACCGCCCCGACTCCCACCCTCACCGCCCCGACTCCCGCCCTCACCGCCCCGACTCCCACCCTCACCGCCCCGAATCGCACCCTCACCGCCCCGACTCCCACCCTCATCCCCCGACTCCCGCCCTCACCGCCCCGACTCCCACCCTCATCCCTCGACTCCCGCCCTCATCCCCCGACTCCCGCCCTCACCGCCCCGACTCCCGCCCTCACCGCCCCGACTCCCACCCTCACCGCCCCGACTCCCACCCTCATCCCCCAACTCCCACCCTCACCGCCCCGACTCCCGCCCTCATCCCCCGACTCCCACCCTCATCGCCCCGACTCCCGCCCTCACCGCCCCGACTCCCACCCTCACCGCCCCGACTCCCACCCTCATCCCCCGACTCCCGCCCTCACCGCCCCGACTCCCGCCCTCACCGCCCCGACTCCCACCCTCACCGCCCGACTCCCACCCTCATCCCCCAACTCCCACCCTCACCGCCCCGACTCCCGCCCTCATCCCCCGACTCCCACCCTCATCGCCCCGACTCCCGCCCTCACCGCCCCGACTCCCGCCCTCATCCCCCGACTCCCGCCCTCATCCCCCCGACTCCCACCCTCATCCCCCGACTCCCGCCCTCATCCCCCGACTCCCGCCCTCACCGCCCCGACTACCGCCCTCATCCCCCGACTCCCGCCCTCACCGCCCCGACTCCCGCCCTCACCGCCCCGACTCCCGCCCTCACCGCCCCGACTCCCGCCCTTATCCCCCGACTCCCGCCCTTATCCCCCGACTCCCGCCCTCATCCCCCGACTCCCGCCCTCATCCCCCGACTCCCACCCTCACCGCCCCGACTCCCACCTTAACCACCTGACAAAGGCCACTTCCCAGTTAACCAGCTTCCACCATAACCACCAGAGTCTCCCTTTAACCAAGCCCTCTGTGCCTGTGGTCTGTGCATCTGGATGCCGTCACAGCAACTTCCTGCCCCGTGCTGCCCCTCCCAGCAGAGACCGCAGACCTCGCTGCGGAGGAGAAGCCGCGGGCGCCCCGGGACCCACCTGAGGGAAAGACGAGGGGCTCTGGGTCCCGTGTCCTCCGGTCGGGTCCGAGGCCCCGCTGGCCGAGGGTCCTCCCTGCACCGAAGGGTCACAGGTCGCGGCTCCACGGCAGGAGCGGGCCTGCAGGCAGCAGCTGATGGATGCTTCTCTCTCACATCCATGCTTCTCCCCTTCTCCCCCTTCTCACTCTAAAATCAATAAAGATACATTAAAAAAAAAAAATAGAAATGTCTATCATTTTACCTCTTATCCGACCCCAGAGGTGTCCCCGCTCTGCTTTCTCCGCCTCCCGGACCCATTCCCAGTGGGTTTCATGGTGCTCCTCTGTGTCACGTACAGAACACAGCGAAGACCCGCCATCCTCCGGGGCACTCTCTCTGTCTGCTGAGATTTTGCTTCCCCACAATCGTCGATGGCTTGGCTCAAACTCACCCAAATTCTCTACGGGTCCGAATGCTTCTTCCTGTGGACAGAAGGGGCCGCACGCTGGCCTGGCAGCTCAGGGGAGGCCTGCCTGGCCGCCTCGCAAACTCAGCCCTAAAGGAACCACAAAGGATGGTCTGAAATTAAATATTTAGCTGCAAACAGGTTATAGTGAGTAGTCAGGTCCTAGGCTGATGTTTTCCCTACAAAGAACAACTTAGATCTTTCCTGAGGTTTGCCTTTCGCCTCTAAGCTAACATATCTGGTCGAAACCGGTGTGGCTCAGTGGATAGAGCGTCGGCCTGCGGACTGAAAGGTCCCAGGTTCGATTCCGGTCAAGGGCATGTACATTGGTTGCGGGCACATCCCGGTAGGGGTCGATATTTCTCTCTCATCGACATTTCTTGCTCTCTATCCCTCTCTCCTCCTCTCTGTAAAAAAAAAAATCAATGAAGTTTATATTTTTAAAAATCAATAAAATGTATTAAAAAAAAAACATATCTGTGAGATGTCTGGGTAACTTGTAACTCCCCTTTTTCTGGAGCCCCTGGGGCACAACCAAATGTGCTGGGCGCCAGGACAGATGCCTCAAATTCCTTTATCATCAATGTTAATTGTTCCTGCACCCACGTAAGCATGTGTCCATCATTTCACTTTTTATCCAAAACCAGGGGTTTCCCCTGCTTTGCTTTATCCCACCTCCTCCACCTCCTTAATCCATCACCAATGATTTCATGTAACCCACCTGTGTCCCTCCTTTGACTGCAATGTATAGAGACAGGTGTAGCCTGCCACTCTCCGGAGCATCATCTCAACTCGCTGAGGTTTTTCCCGGGCCTACGTTGACAGTTTAGCTCCAATAAACTCACAAAATTCTTTACAGGTTTCAATGTTTGTTTGTTTGTTTACATTAACATTACGCTGACACAGATATACGCCTGTTTTTGAAGTAATTGCGGGTATCATGACCCTTCAACCCTAAGTAAGTAGCTCGTCGAGGTCAGCTTTATCTCCTGAAACAGAACCACAACCCCGCCGTGACCGGTGTGGCTCAGTGGATAGAGCGCCGGCCTACAGACTGAGAGGTCCCGGGTTCGACTCCGGTCAAGGGCATGTACCTTGGTTGTGGGCACATCCCCAGTAGGGGGTGTGCAGGAGGCTGCTGATGGATGTTTCTCTCTCATTGATGTTTCTAACCCTCTATCCCTCTCCCTTTCTCTCTGTAAAATAGGGGTGTCGAACTCAATCAGAGAAGGGGCCAAAATCTAAAATCCAGCCTAAATCGCGGGCCGAATGGTTTACTGAACAGTCATAAACTGTCATTGTGATGGAAACGCAGCGGAGTGCAGTGATGACAGCGTGGTGCGGGCCACATTGCAAGGCCTGGCGGGACGGATTTGGCCCGCGGGTCTTGTGTTTGACACAGGTGCTGTAAAAAATTACTAAAATATATTTAGCCCCGGCTGGCTTGGCTTAGTGGACAGAACGTCGGCCTGCGGACTGAAGGGTCCCAGGTTCGTTTCGGGCCAAGGGCACAGGCCCGGGTTGCGGGCTCCATCCCCAGTGGGGGGCATGCAGGAGGCAGCCGATCCATGATTTTCTCTCATCATTGGTGTTTCTGTCTCTCTCTCCTTCTCCCTTCCTCTCTGAAATCAATAAAGAAATATATTCAAAACATATATACATATATAATAAAAAAACACACAAAAATACTGCATCCCCACTTCACATCCAGCTAACCGAGTCTGTCGGCACCAAATGCATCATCACATCCCCTCGTCCCCAGGCCCAGCTACGATGGCGGTCACACGGAGGCCCAGCCACGGCCCGGCCCGTTCGGTCACTTTAGAATTTTCTCATTTACAGCACTTTCCTCCCCTCCCCCTCCCCACCCCTGGTCCTGAGGCTCAGGTGCGGGAGGTCTGGATGCCACTGCCACGGGTGCTGCTGTGTGCCTGTTGTCCCGTGTCTCTGTGACTGGAGGCGGGCGCCCCCACATCCGGCCTCAGCGCCTGCCTGGCCCAGGTCTGCGGGCGGGGGCCGCTGGGTGCCCACCGGGAGCCTGCGGAGAGCGCAGCCCTCTGTGCCACCAGCCACCGGCATGCTGTCCCGGGCACCCCCCCCTCCTCTGCGCGCCCATGTGGCCTGCCCTGGCACCGGCTTCCGACAGCCAGGAAAGGCCAGAGTGACGGCATCCCTTCAACTCCCTCCTCTCCCTCTCCCTCTCTCACCTGCCGGCTGTGCCAGGAGCCGCAGGGACGGCTCTGTGCAGAGGCCTCGGGCCGGGACTCAGGCACCTCCAGCCCATATGGGGGTCCTCCCGGGGAGGGACCGAGCCAGGGCTCATGCTGAGCGGCTCCTGGCCGGCAGGACAGGAGAGAACGAGCTGCGGTTTTACTTATGTATTATTATTGTTGTTGTTATTATTTTAAAAAAAATACTTTTAATTGATTTTTTACAGAGAGGAAGGGAGAGGGAGAGAGAGAAACATCAATCAGCTGCCTCCTGCACACCTCCTACTGGGGATGTGCCCGCAACCAAGATACATGCCCTTGACTGGAATCGAGCCTGGGACCCTTGAGTTCTCAGGCTGAGGCTCCATCCACTGAGCCACACCGATTTCGGCTATTGTTGTTATTACTGTTATTTAAACTGGAGGCCCGGGGTGTGGATTTGTGCACCGTGGGGCCCCCGGCCCTCGGCCTGGCCTGGGGGACAAGGGGACCTTCCCCCGCAGCCCGGCCTCACCCCCTGCCCATGGGCTCCAGCCCGCTCTCTGCGTCGATCCAGCAGGCGGGCGGGGCGGAGCCCGAGCCTGGGCTGGGCACCGAGCTGCTCCCGCCCACCCCGCCACCGTCACCGCCGGGCTGCTGGGGAGAAGCTCACGCCGTCACACTCACCAGCTGAGCCCGGCCTCTGGCACCCGCCTGTCCGCTGAGCGCAGCTCCTGCGTCGAGCCTCTGCCCCCTGGTGGTCATTCCACGTCATAGCTACTGGCCAGCCATCCGGTCGTCCGGTGGTCCGGTGGTCCGGTCGGTTAGGCTTTTATATAGAGAGATGGGAGCGGGAAAGAGAGAGAGAAACACCTGTGATGAGAGAGAACCATGGATCAGCGCCTGCTGCACGTCCCCTACGGGGGATCAGGCCCACAACCTGGGCCTGTGCCCTGGACTGGAATCAAACCCGGGACCCTTCAGTCTGCAGGCCAATGCCCTATCCACTGAACCACACTGGCCAGGGCGACTGGCTGCCGTGTCAAACCGCTAAGCTCCGGGCCGGCTGGCTCCCTCCTGTCCTCCACCAGCCCTCCTCCAGGAGGTCTGCTTCCCGAGCCCTCAGACCTGCTGGCGAACTCGAGAGATTCTTAGCTCCGTGTCTTCCTCGGCCCGGTTGGTCCTCCTGCCATTTCCTGTCGGTGCCTCCATTTCACTGGCGTCCTCCGAAGTCAGGCCTAGCCCCGTGGTCGGCTCATCCGTCAGCACAGCCAAATGTCAACAGCACAACGATCGAAGTTCCTTCGGAGAGCCACGTTTTTTTAAACTTAACTTCTTCGAACGCCACTTCTTCACAGCAGCCTCGCCCAGGCCGTGGTGTTTTGTGGAAGAGCCACCCTCCAGGGGCCAGAGAGCCGCACGTGGCTCTTGAGCCGCGGTTTGCTGACCGCGGGCCCAGAGCTCCTGTTTTTCTCACAGGAAGTTGCAAAAGAGGCGTCCGGGGGGCCGGGCACCCCTCCCGGGGCCAGGGAGCCGGAGGAGGGGCCTGGGTCTCAGCCGCCTCCGGCCTCCGGGAGCCGGGCGAGCGGGACGGGGCGCCCGCCGTGCGGTCTGCAGGGCTGCAGGGCGACCGCTGGCGCACGCAGGGCGGGCACGCGCACTCTCGAGGGGGCGGGGCCAAGCGACCCCCTCCGGGCCCCCCAACATTTAAGGGCCCCAGACCAGTCTGCTCCGTGACCCCAGTTTGGAGGGATCCGGAGACGCCAGAAGGCAGAGATGACAGAGACGCCGGGGCGGACACGCCAGGACACAGACGGACGAAGGGCCGGGTCCCGGTGCTCAGCCCCCGGCCTCCAGCCTTCTCGACGCGAGTGGGCACATGGTGGGGGGGGGGCCGCGGCCCCACAGCCTTGGGGAGCCCACACGGCGATGTGAGGGGGGTTCCGGGCAGAGATGAGGGACAGGCGCCCGTCGGCGGCACTGGGGGTGGACAGAGCTCCCCTCCCCCGGGCACGCCTACGGACCTGAAACAAGACCCGGGAAAACACACACGCACACGCACACCACCTTTGACCCTCCCCGGCGGCGGAGAGATCAGGGGCGGCCTGGGCCCTAGGAGCTGCCATCGCTCGGCCAAAGTCCTCGGTCCCAGTCAGAGACGCAGCGACCGTTGGTTTAGCAAACATTAACGCTTCAGCCGGGCCCTGCCTCCTGCTCTGTGAACCCAAACCACAGCCCCTCCTCCCCTCCCCCTGAGCCCCCATCCCCTGGACAGCCCGTCCGTCGTACACGTGGTCACTTCCTCTGTCTCGGACCCACCACCGAGGCAGTGAGATGAGAAGGAACGTGGCAGGTGTCTGTGGGGGCCGAACCCCGGCCCAGCAGCCAGATGGGACCAGGAAGCCTGGGCCCCTCGCTGTGGGCGGGAGGGGGGAGGGGCCCTCGCTGTGGGCGGGAGGGGGGAGGGGGCCCTCGCTGTGGGCGGGAGGGGGGAGGGGGCCTCGCGGTAGGCGGGAGGGGGGAGGGCCCCTCGCTGTGGGCGGGAGGGGGGAGGGGCCCTCGCTGTGGGCGGGAGGGGGGAGGGGGCCTCGCGGTAGGCGGGAGGGGGGAGGGCCCCTCGCTGTGGGCGGGAGGGGGGAGGGGGCCCTCGCTGTGGGCGGGAGGGGGGAGGGGGCCTCGCGGTGGGCGGGAGGGGGGAGGGGCCCTCGCGGTGGGCGGGAGGGGGGGGGGGGGCCTCGCTGTGGGCGGGAGGGGGGAGGGGGCCTCGCGGTGGGCGGGAGGGGGGAGGGGGCCTCGCGGTGGGCGGGAGGGGCCCTCGCTGTGGGCGGGAGGGGGGAGGGGGGCCTCGCGGTAGGCGGGAGGGGGGAGGGGCCCTCGCTGTGGGCGGGAGGGGGGAGGGGGGCCTCGCTGTGGGCGGGAGGGGGGAGGGGGCCTCGCGGTAGGCGGGAGGGGGGAGGGGGCCTTGGGGTGGGCGGGAGGGGGTAGGGGGCCTCGCGGTGGGCGGGAGGGGGGAGGGGGGCCTCGCGGTGGGCGGGAGGGGGGAGGGGGCCTCGCTGTGGGCGGGAGGGGGGAGGGGGGCCTCGCGGTGGGCGGGAGGGGGGAGGGGGGCCTCGCGGTGGGCGGGAGGGGGAGGGGGCCTCGCGGTGGGCGGGAGGGGGGAGGGGGCCTCGGGGTGGGCGGGAGGGGGGAGGGGGCCTCGCGGTGGGCGGGAGGGGGGAGGGGGCCTCGCTGTGGGCGGGAGGGGGGAGGGGGCCTCGCTGTGGGCGGGAGGGGGGAGGGGCCCTCGGGGTGGGCGGGAGGGGGACCGGGGGGACAGGCGTCCCTGTGGTGGTGACCGGGGATGGACACGGGTCCGGTGAATCTGTTCGACCACCAGCAGCCACCGCAGGGACTTCGGACTAGAGGGCTTTGGGGGGAGGGGGCGAGCTTGTTCGCAGATCCTAACGGGAACTGCCCCCAGGAAGGACCCAGAACATTCCGGAACCTGCCCCGATGGCAGGCTCGTTTGGGGCCTGTGTTTTAGGATGTTGGAGTCTTCCTCTCTTTTTCTTTTTAAAAGGTGTTTTTATTGACTTCAGAGAAGAAGGGAGGGAGAGAGAGAAACATCAACGACGAGAGAATCGTGGATCTGCTGCCTCTTACACACCCCACCCTGGGGACCGAGCCCGCACCCGGCCTGTGCCCTGATGGGGAATCGAACCCGGCACCCTTCGGTCTGCAGGCCGACGCTCCACCCACTGAGCCATGCCGGGAGAAGGCTTCCTTTCTTAAAGAAGCCCGCGGCCGCCCGTGGGGCACTCCCTCGGGGCGGCTCCCTCGGGGCACCCTGTGCCCTGGCTCCCGCTCATTGTTTGGGGTGCTCTGTGTTCATTCCCACAGGAAACCGAGGCCCGGGCGGGGCTCGGCGGGCGAGCGCCCAGGGGAGCCGTGAGTCAGCGGCCCGAGCCCCAGGGCTGGGCCTGGGTGCCAGCAGCTCAGAGAGGCGGCGCCCAGGGTCTCACACTCCCTTGCACCCGGGCACAGGGGCCGGGGAGGCCGGGAGCCGGAGTGAAGGCCACGGGAGGGAACACTGGGCTCCAAACCCCCTCCATCCTCAGGGTGGGCAGAGAGGGCACAGGGAGGGGTGCCCATCCTAGGCGTGGCGCAGGCAGGCCACACCTTCCCTGGAGTGCGGGTCCCACGGGGGCGGAGCCAGTCTCGGCCCCTCCCTCTGCATTCCCTTGGGAGCCAGGCCTGCGACTTCCTTGCAAACCCTCGACGGCTGCCCCCAGGGCTGTCAGAGGCGCAGGGAGCTGCCCCCGACCAAGGGCCTTCAATGCCCCTGGCCCCGTCAGCCCTGGTGCTCCCCGCCCCATGCCCACCCCACCTTCCTCTGTTCCTCCACCCTGACGTCCCAGAGAAGGCCTGCGCTGCTCTTAGCTTATTTGTTAACCATTTTTATCGATTTCGGAGAGAGAGGGAGGGAGAGGGAGAGAGAGAAACATAACAGCAATGAGAGAATCACTCATGGATCAGCTGCCTCCTGCACGCCCCCCGCCCCTCCCGGGATCGGACCTCAAACCCAGGGGAATGGAACCACTGCATGGAGCCACCCACCGGACCCACATCACTCTCACCACAGCGGCACTCGGACGTGTTCAGACACAACACGCAGGCCGGCGGGTACCGGGAGCCCCTGCACGCGTGCGCAGCCACAGCACACTCTGAAATGGACCAGCCAGCCCGGCTGGCGTGGCTCCGTGGTTGAGCATCTGCCTATGAACCCGGGGATCCGGGTTCGACCCCGGCCAGGCCACAGGCCCGGGTTCGGGCTTGATCCCCACTAAGGAGCGTGCAGGAGGCAGCCGGTCCGTGAGTCTCTCTCCTCTTGGATGTTTCGCGCTCTCTCTCCCTCTCCCTTCTTCTTCTCTGAAATCAATAAAAACATAGTTAACCGGGAATTTAGTGGGTACCGACGGATGCGGCAAACTACAAGAAAAAGCCGGTTCTCCAGCAGCACCAGCCCGGCCCCACACTTGGGCCGAGCGCCCTGCCCACTCCACCCCAGGCACCCACTTGGGAAGGAAGCACCCACGAAATCCACCACTCGGAGGCTCCCTTCCAGGTGGCTCGGCTTCCCAGGCCCCCTCCCTGGTCCAGGGGGCCCTCCTAGGGCCTTACAAGCCAGACTCACCACTGTCACCAACAGCCCGTCCAGGTGGCCCGAGTCGCCTCCCAGGACCCTCAGCAGCCGCGCCGGCCCCCAGCCCCCAGCCACGGCCCCCACCCCAGCCCCAGCCACGGCCCCCAGCCCCAGCCCCAGCCCCCAGCGCCAGCCCCCAGCCCGCGACCCCAGCCTCCAGGCCCCGGCCCCTGGCCCCCAGCCACAGCCCCCAGCTCCCCGGCCCCCGGCCCCCGGCCCCAGCCCCCAGCCCCCGCCCGCGGCCCCAGCCCCCAGCCCCCAGCCCCCAACCCCGGCCCCCGGCCCCAGCCCCAGCCCCCGGGCTCCCGGGCTCCCGGGCTCCCGGGCCCCGGGCTCCCGGGCCCCCGGGCCCCCAGCCCCCGGCCCCCAGCCCCAGCCCCCAGCCCCCGTCCCCGGCCCCAGCCCCCGGGCTCCCGGGCCCCCTGCCCCTGGCCCCCGGCCCCCAGCCCCGGGGCCCACCTGGTTCCGCAGGGAGCCCCGTGCACTCAGCACTGCCCTCCGGGTCCTCCGGGGGCCTCCGGGCGGAGTGCACGGCGCCGGGGGCGGGTCCGGGGAGAGGGGCCCCTCACTGGGCCTCCGGGCCGCAGGCCTGTCCCGGGCGCAGCCCCGGGGGCTCGGAGGGCGCCCGGCCCGGGGTTCGCCTGGGGTTCCAGCTGCCGGAGACCCGGAGCATCCATCAGCCTCCGGCGGAAGGGGGCGGGGCTGCTGATGGGCGTGGTCCAGGGGCGGGGCCGGGGCGGGGCATCGGCGCCGTACAAATAGCGGAGAGGCGCGCTCCCGGCGGGCGGGGCCTCCGGAGGGCGGGGCCTCGGGTCGGACAGGGGCGGGGCCTCTAGGTGGGCGGGGCCTCGGCGCCGTACAAATAGCGGGGCGGGCGCGCGCCCCGCCAGAGAGGGAGCGCGCAGCGGCGGCGGCGGCAATCTCACGTGTCCGGACCGGCCTCCGCGTCACTCCGCCCGGACCCGCGCCCCGCGCCCCCCGCGCCTCCGGCCGCCCGCCAGGCCCAGCTCCGCGCCCCCGCCGCCCGCTAGGCCCAGGCCCCTCCCCGCCAGCCAGGCCGCCCGGCCGCCGCCATGGGGGTGGAGGGATGCACCAAGTGCATCAAGTACCTGCTCTTCGTCTTCAATTTCGTCTTCTGGGTGAGCCGGGGGCGGGGGACCGGGGGCCGGGGGCGGGGGGCCGGGGTGTCGGGGGGCCGGGGGCCGGGGGGCTGGAGGGGAGTCTGGATGGGGGAGCCCCGGGCCCGCAGCCGCGCCACCCGCTAGGCCCCGCCGGGCCGCCAAGTTGCGGGGCGCCCTGTGCGCGGGGCCCGGGGGGGGGGGCGCCCTGGGGGGCGGCCGGCGGGGAAGGCGTCCGGGCCACCGCGCCCCTCGATGGCGGGCGGGGGCCGCGGGCTGGGCCTGGGGGCCTGTGGTCCGTGGGGTCCCGAGCCCCGCGGCCGGGCGGGCGGAGGCATTTCGGGGGCCTGGGGCCTGTCTCCGCCCCGGGAGGCGGGTGCGCGGTGCGGGGGGGGGGGTGCGGGATGGGGTGCGCGCCCTGCCCGCCGCTCCGGGCCGCGGAGTCGGGACCGTCCGGCCTCGCGGGGGCGGAAGGGGGGCGCGAGGGCGGGGCTCCCGGCGGCCCGCCCCCATGAGCTCATCCGGCCGCCGCCCGGGGTGGGCGGCTGGTCCGGGGGGTGCATCCCCCGGCGGGGGCTGGGGTGCCTGCACCGCGGGGACCCCGGTGTGAGGAGCCTGCCCCCCACCCTCCTCACCCGCCCGGCCTGCAGCCTGGCCCGGGGGGTGGGGGGAGGTGGATGGGGGGACCCCGGCGGCCTGAGGGGTGGGGGCTGCGGCAGCCCTTCCCGTGGACACAGGGCCGCAGCCGGGACCCGGGCGTCCCCCAGGGGCCGGGCCGGCCTGGGGCGCCCACTGGGGAAGCAGGGCCCACGGGACGGTCCTGTGGGCGAGGAGGGTCCGGAGCCGCTTCCTGGCCTGGGTCTCGCTGCCGCCCGGGCCTGGCCGGGCCTGGACTTTTGTTCTCACTTCCTGTTGGTGCGCGGGGGGCCGGAATGGGTGGGGGTCACACGGCCATGCCCGGCCTCCCCGGGCCCAGCCCCTGGGCGGTGACCCGGACCCCCACCCGGGCCCCATGCTGCTGGCCGCTCCCCCTCCCCGCGGAGACGGGGTGCCGTGGGGTGGGGGTGCCTTCCCCAAGTGGACGCAGGAAGGCGGACCTTAGGGGTGGGCCCCGAGCGAGTATGGGGTCAGGGCACCGTCCCCCCGCCCCGGGCCAGGGTGAGAGGACAGGGACTAGCTGAGCTCAGCCGAGGGTGCAGTGGGTGTCACATCCACCGGGGGCGGGCCTGGCTGAGGGACGGTGATCTGGGGCTTAGCGTTTGCCTGCTCTGGCCGGGGTAGGGGTCAGAGGGCCGCCTGAGCTGGCGTGAGGAGGAGGACGCTGTTGGGTGGGAGGGGGAGGGGACTTCTCAGGAGGGGGGGGTGTCCTGCCCCCCTTTCCCGTGGGGCCCTCTCCGGGGGAGCCCACCCCGTCAGAGCCGCTGGGTGGCCCGGTGGTTCCCAGGCAGCAGTGGAGCCGGCACGGCCCCCCTGGGTGCAGGGATGTAAGTGCTCCCTCCCTCCTGGGCCTGCCCCGTGGAGCTCAGAGCCAGATCCGCCCACAGGCGCCTGGGTCCCGTCACGGCCCCGCCCCCACGCTGGCCGGCGTGCTGAGCCCTGGGTGCTGGGCACACCCTCAGGAGCCCCCTGTGTGCCCCCCCTCCCCGTCACCTGGCTGCAGCGTGGACCTGGGTGGAGGCCCCCTCCCCGCACGGCTCTGGTGCTGCCCATTGGGAGCACTGCACCCTCTGACCCCGGTGCTAGTGGATGAGCTCACCGAGGAGCGGGCGCAGGAACCGTGTTGGCTGTGCCGGCGTGGCCTTGGGGACGGGAGGCCCCATCCCGGCCACAGGGCTGCGGTGGGCGCTGAGGGGGAGCCCAGAGAACGGGTGACGGACGACGGGTGTCTGGATCGGGAACATTTTAGTTACGTCGCAGAGTGAGAGGCCCCCACGCGGAGTGGCCTCGGGTGGCCTGGCACGCCGGCCCAGGGAGGAGTGGCGCCTGCACGCCCACACGGGCGCGCCTGCCTCGCCCTGCTGACACCGGGCCCCAGGCGGCATTCGCGCAGCCTGCCCGGCCCCGCCTGCTCTGGGCTCCCGGCATCTGGCTGGGAGGCGGGACACAGTGCCAGGCAGCCAGGAAATCCCCCGTTGGGGCGGCCGGGAGCCGAGAGGAGCCGAGAGCCGGGTTAGGGCAGGGAGGTGAGGCTCTGTCCGGCTCTGGGTGGCGTCTGGCCTCTCCTGGGGGGCTGCCCAGGGAGCCCCGGGGGTGCCCGGTCCTGGGGCGGAGGGTGAGCATGCCCGCCTGGCCTGGCCGTCCGGCCCCTAATGCAGCCGGTGGCCGCAATCCAGCGGCCGGCCCGGGCCTGATGGGAACGAGGCTGATGAGAAGCCTCACTAACGGGCATTTAATTTCGCTGCCAGACGGCACATGACTGTCACTTAGCGGGGCGTCACAGCCCTCTGGGAGGGCGGCCCTGGAGGATGGGGGGGAGGATGAGGACGGGGAGGAGATCTCCTGCGGCTCTTGGGGGGGCTCTCCGGGGTGGGCGAGGGGACCCTGGGCGCCCCTGGCTGAGGAGAGGGAGTCTGAGCTGGGCCCCGGCCTCCGGGAGACGGCCTCACCGGGCCCAGGCCCTCAGCACCAGCTCAGCTCTGCTTCCGGCCGTGAGCTCAGCTTTGTCGTTATCTCTGGCTGCTTCCCTGTCTGACAGGGGGTGGCCCCGAACCACGGCTCCCCCAGACCGAGCTCTCAGTGACATTCCTCTCCCGACCCCCCTCACCTAAAGCTGAGTCCTCAGATCAGCCAGGTCCGCAGGCCGGGAGCCGTGGGGGGAGCCGGTCCCTGTCCCTGGCCCTGTTCTACAGGAGAGGGCGGAGGGAGGGGAGGAAGGGGGTGGAGCCCAGCTGCTGGTTCTGGCCCTGACACCCAGGACCCTGCCCGGCACAGGTGAGGGCTGGGTGACTCAGCCGGGAGACACCTACCCCGCACCCCACACAGACACTGTACTGGGGGCCTGGCCCAGCCCCGCCTCCCGGTGAGAGCAGGTTCACAGAAGACCGTTTGGGGGCCTCGGGGAGCACCCGCCGGCAGCCCAGGCCTCTGACAGCTGGGACCTGTCTTGCCCTGGTCCTTGAAGCAGTGCCCCTGCTATGACTGGACATGTTCTTGTTTTCTGGCTTCTTTAGAGAGAAAGGAGGGGGGTCGGGAGAGGAATGTCACTGAGAGCCACCAGGCAGCTGCCTGCCCCTGACTGGGAGCCGAACCGACTGGGAGCCGAACCGGTGACCTCTCGGTTCGAGGGCCGACTCCATGCGGAGCCACACCGGCCGGGCTCAGGGGTGACGTGACCGTTACCCAGAAGGCCCAGGGACAGGGAGGCAGGTGGTGCCCGGTGCCCGGTGCTGCCGCCCGGCGCTCTGCACCCACCGCCCTGCATCCCGGTCGGACGGCACCGTGACCCGTTCTGCCTGTGCGTCGCCTGTGGGCGCTGCTGAGGTTGGTTCTGTGCCCAGCGGGGAGCAGCCCCTGGTGGGGGGCATGGAGACTTGGGGTCCAAGACCCTGGGCACAGCGGTGAGCGCCGGGGAGAGGACCCCAGGCAGCCACCTTCCCGGGGGCTGGGGGCTGGGTGCGGGGGCCACTGAGGGCAGCGGCCGGGGAGCCAGTGACTGCAGCCGGCCCATGGCTCCCCGGGGGGCTCCAAGCCCCACCCGAGCCGGCCCCGCCCTCTGCACGCACGCCCTTCCCTCGGCTCCTCCCGGCCAGGCCCGGCTGTTCCCACCGCGGCAGCACGGGATTCCCGGGGGCCACGGGGAGAAGTGGTGGGCGGCCGAAAACCAGAGCTGGGACCAGAGCGGCTCCCGGGGGCCGGGGCCCGGCAGCCGGTGCTGCTGGCCCGGACGCCCTGCCTGAGCCGTCTCCTCCGAGGCGGCTGTCCATCACCACATCCTCGTCAGACCCGCCGGCCCCCTCCCCTCTCTGCAGGCCACCGAGTCTGCCCACACGGCTTCCACAGGAGGCCTCCCGGCCACGGGGTGTGGTGGGGGCAGGGCTGGCTGGACCCAGAGGGGCAGGCCCGGGGTGTGGCCCCAGGAGGAGCAGAGCTGGGCCTCTCACTGCCCCTGAGAGGGAGGTGGCACCTGCTCCGGGCCCGTGGGGCCCAGGGGGGCACTGTCCTCCCCCCGACTCCCCGGCCCTATTTTTAGACGCCTCGCCGGCGCTTCCTGAGGTGAGAGGCCGAGGGAGTTTCAGCTTCCTGTGAGCCCAGGCCCGGCGAGCGTCCTTCCTGCCTCCTCCGGCGGGGACAGCCGTGCGCCCGGGGCCCGAGGCCCGAGGGGGCTGGAGCCGCCTGGGGAGTCCGCCCCAATCCGCGTGGGCAGAGGAGGGCCAGCCTGCAGGGACCTCCCCCCCAGCCCCTCCGCGGGCATCTCAGCCTGCAGGGACCGCCTCCCCCACCTCCCGGCCTCTCCGCGGGCATCTCAGCCTGCAGGGACCCCCTCCCCAGCCCTCAGCCTGCAGGGACCGCCCCCCCCCCACCTCCCGGCCTCTCCGCAGGCATCTCAGCCTGCAGGGTCCCCCCCCCAGCCCCTCCG